GATGTCGAGTAATGTGCTTTTGGATGGAGATATGACGGCGCTGGTGGCGGATTTTGGGATCGCGAGGCTGTTTAAAGGGGTGGGTGACGGTGGAGCCAATGGTGAGCTTCAGAGCTTGGCGTCTAATACTTCCACCTCTGGGCTTCTGCATGGTTCGGTTGGATATATTGCCCCTGGTAAGGTCTTACATTGCTTTAGTTTTTCTTTTTTTTCAATTAATATATATATATATATATATATCTTGTTATCATTTATTATCAAGTGTATATCCTAAATCAATCAGTTCTTCTTTCTCAACATAAGAAAATTTTGTGATTTACTTTGACTGGACAAATATAACATGGATAAAAAAAAATGATTCTAGTCATATTAACGCAACTAGTAGCAAATGTTTACTGCATTCCATTGAACGAGCGTCGATCATTATTGTGTATTCATGTGTTTGGCATCGATCTTTGGAGAACTATAAATGTTGCTTTGGCCATACATTCTTACTGATTTTTTTTAGAGAAACATAAACAATATTTTGAATGTGTTATTGCTGATTTTAAATATTTAGTTGCTGGTTTTATGTTTCAGGCACCCAAATGCAAATATTTTGATGTTCCAATGATCATTTAATTGTATATATATATATATATAAATGAAACCCTGGAGGCAATTTTATTGCTCAAATTTTAAAATCACAGGTTTTATGTGGGAGGGACCCACTAAAACTGTCAAAAATACATGTAACTGAACCCTAGGGTCACCACCCCTTGGTATAGAACTCAATACAAAAAAAAAATCTCCAAAAGATTTACAAGTATACCCAAAAAGTAAAAAAGATCTCCAAAATTTAGACAGCTCCACTTTGTCCCAGCCATGAGCCATGTTGGTTTCTAGCCATGCCATCAGGGGATCAAAACTGCAAAGCAGAAGCAGTAGACTAACCAGAAAGCTGTCAGCATGGTCAAAGAGACGAACAATACTTAAAACACGATAATATGGGAATTGCTATATGTGCTAAAATTTGCAAGTGAAAAATGAGGCCCCTTTGCTATCTTCCATCATCTTTCTGCATAAAGGGAGTGAGATTCCAAAACATAAAAAAGATATATTACTCCAAATCCGTTCCATATGAGCCTGATAAGTCACCCCTCTAAATTTAGAGGACCAGAGATTACAGCCCAGCAAAGACCACTTTCCATAAATAAGATACAAGGATTCAGAAAGAGATTCCCAAACCCAGCCGAAAAAACCCACAGAAAACAGCTGCAGCAAACAAAGAAACCTTCTCACCCACAAAAACAACTGAAAAATCTGGGCTCGCCAAGCTAGGCACAGAAAACCCAAAGGGTGGTTGCAAAGCCACACTCCTCCCATTAACCCAAACATACGATAAATACAGCACCTGCAACCCAGGTAAGCCCCAATGGAAAGAGCAACACAAGACCCAAGCTCAAAGGTGACCAAAAACATCCAAACGTACATAAGACCAACTAAGCTGAGAAAATAGAAGGTGCCCCAGGTAGAGCAAATTTTAGAAAACTCCCCCACCACATTGGTCATCAGAATATTAAAACAGACACTCCATCCAACAATAAAACCCTTCCAGCAGTTAAAAGGATAGTGCAGAAAGCCCAATTCATATGTAATGTATATGGGAATAGAACCAGAAAGCAGTCGGTAGTAGGGGTGTAAACGAGCCGAACACGAGCGAGCCAAGCTCAGCTCGTTTATATTTCGAGCTCAAAAAGTGTGTTCGTGTTCGGCTCGTTTGCTTAACGAGCCGAACACGAGCTGTTCACGAACAAAGATTCCTTTGAACAACCCTAATCATGTCGCCATAAGAAAATAAAGGTTTGAGCAAAATTTAAAAATTATTATTTATATTAAAGCATCATTTGAATCTAATTTAATAATTTTTATTTTATTTTCTTAATCAATATTTTAATTGATTATAAATCTATATATATAAACTTGATGAGTAGTATTTCGAGCCAAAACGAGCCGAACACGAACGAACACATCTTAAGTTCGTGTTCGGCTCGTTAACTTATCGAACGAAATTAACGACCCGAACACGAGCTGTTCGCGAACAACGAGCCGTTTTGACAGCCCTAGTCGGTAGTCAGATTGATAATACCAAACATCAGGAAGCAGAAAATAGAAAACGATAAAGCCAATAATTACTAGCCCACCAATAAATGTGGCAATTGTAAATTATCACCCTTAATTAATCTTCTCAGTTACCCACCCCCATATGTGAGACCCCCCATCTAGCCAACCAATTGGCCGACTTATTACCCTATCTGAAAGTGAAAACCCACTCCACATGTAATTGTAGCTTACTAATCACAACCAAAATCGTGTGTAATACAGATAATATATTCCTTGGGCCTCATTTCCAGCAAAATATGTTTCCAGCCAGCATGTTGTATACAAAATAATGCTAATAAAACTTCCCAGCCTTCAGCTTCAAGAGGGGAGTTAGCCATAACAGGGGAGAAAAAATAGCCCTTGTAATTCCCAAGCCTATACCTAAAAAGCCCCCCTACACCAGCTCTAAAAGAACACCAGCTCCCATCCACATTAGCCTTGATCCACCCATGAGAAGGTGGGATCCATCTAACCGACCTAATAGCAGGGACCACTCCATCAGACATTGGAGTCCTTTCAAGAAAATAATGCTTAACAAAATTTGTGACCATGATTATAGAGAGATAGGAAAGAATATTAGCAATAACATTTTGGTGTTTAAAGTGTTCCCCCTTATGCTTAGAAGCATTTCGAGCCATCCACAGAAACAACATTACTACGTATGGGAGGAAAGCGAAAATATGTTTTGTAGAAAACCCCTCCACCCAAAAGAAGAGTCATTCCTCTACATCCCTCCAAACAACAGGGATTCTTCTATGGAAGAACTTCCCAAAAAAATCCCAAACCAACATCGAAGCAGAGCATTAGGTATAAATGGTTTATGGACTCCTGCTCCACCTTACATGAATAGCATTGAGAGGCACCTCTCAATCCTTTAAGCTTCAGCATATCTTCATAAAGAAGTAATTTATGAAAATGTCTCCAAAGGAAAAAACTCATAGAAGCAGAAAGAATTTTGCCCCATAAGTGTAACGACTAGTCTACTTTTGAAAATGATAAATATCTTCATAAAGAGCTTTAGAATAGGAGACGTGATTTGAAAGTTTGAGAATGAAGGAATCCTTTCTCAAAATTTATTGGGTTCTTGTCAAAAGCCTCAGTTGTGTGGCCCACCACCTCCCTAAGAAGGTCGAAATCCAAGGGCCCCCCTTTCCAAAAATCAGAGACTAAAGCCGCTTCATGATTCTCCCAGCCCGGTAAGCCATCTGTATTAAATTCCGTCCACTGGTCCTTCCATAACGACACTTGTCCTTTACCAATATCCCAAAAAATTTAGTTAGCAGCAGTAGCCCATGCATTAATCAAGGACTTCCAAATTTTTGAGTCTCGCACTTCCCAAGACACAGATGTAGGATGAGAAAGATAACATATTTTTCCATCATATAATTAGACCATATAGAGCCCCCTCTTCTGAGTTTAAACCGGACTTTTATAAAATTAATATTTGCAAAATGATGGAGCTCTTTAAGCCCTAAACCACCAACAGTTAAAGGTTCACAAACCTTTTTCCAGTTAGCCCAGATCCTGCAAGACAAAGAACCTGCCCAAAGAAATTTGTCAAAATATTTTTCAAGCATCACTTGAGTGCTGGCCTGGAGTATGAGCACCTGCAGAGCATAGAGAGGGAGAGCATTAAGTACACTTCTAATCAAAGTAATTCTGCCACCAAAAGATAAGAAATTGTTCCTCCAATCAAGAATTATAGTTTTCACATTTTCCACCATAGAATCCATTTGAGACTGTTTCATTCTACCCCCCAGGAGATGAACACCTGGACATTTGATTGGAAGAGATGAAAAGCACAACCTGTGGTGTTGCAAATCCACCTAGCCATCTCTTTATTTACCTTCTTCCCCAAAATAATGCAACATTTCTTTTTATTTAAATACCAAACCAGAGACTTTTTGAAAAATATCCCAAGTATGATAAAGTAAAGAAACAACCTTCTTACTAGCATTGGAGAAACCGATAGCATCATCATCATATGCAAGGTGGCTAATAAGTCTTTTAACCTTAAGAGAGTAAGCCATATATGGGTTAGCAGATTGCACCCTATTCAATAACATAGAAAAGTAATCAA